TCAAACGTCTGCAGCCATTCAACTATTCTAAATATTTACCATCTCATATTCTGCTATAGACAGCAATAAATAGCAAATAAAAAATATATAAAAATTTCAGCATTATTAAATATGACTTTATCATTGAGGGATATTGAGTTATGGTTTAAAAAGGAAGCACATTAACACAACGCCGCACGTGCGTCAACCACTCGTAAAGTTATAAGGCATAAGTTGCTCATACGCCACCGCATACCAACCGTTTTGCATTGCTGCGTGTGTCACTTGTTCTCTCTCTTTCTTTCTATTTTAAATGCATTTACCATCAGTGTACTGTTGTCCAAAACAAACATACATACATTACCGCTATCTATCAAACAGCAAACTGTACGATACTACAAGTACACATGCACATATGTATTGTATATGAGAATCAAAATTCAATAAGAAGAGCATGAAGTGAAATTGCATTTAGTGGAGGTGAAATCGAGTAGAGCAAAAGCGTTGGTGGATAAAACAATTAGTGCTTACAAACTGCACGGACCAAAAAGCTGCGGGAAAGTTTGTGGTGCATGTGGGTGTTGTATGTACATAAATTAATAAAATTAATTAATTCAATTTAAGATTGTAACGAAGCGATATGTTTGCGTAAACAGTTACGGAGTTTATAAAAACAAAAACAAATTTAATAAAATTTAAATAAATGCATTTTAAATGGGCTGTACAGTAAAGCGGTTAATTGTAAACAAATCGTAATTATTATGTAAACATATGTACATACGAGTATATACATATGTGCATACGCATGTTTTTACTCATACACTTTTTATCCCAAAACTCATATGTACTACGTACAGATGTATAAATATAGACTATTCACGTACAGTGATTCAGTAAGTAAACGTATAGACTGGTTGTTATCGGTAGTTTAATTTCATTACACCTCTCGGCAGGCGATATCAGCCCCTCCGAGTGTATTTCGGAGAAGAAATAAAATCTCCTTATAGAAATCCATTAGCCGTTGGTTGGAAAAATCCATTAAGACACATACCACAGACTGAAACAGAAGCTTGGCTCGTTTCAGCGCTAATAAAGCTCACAGTTTTTTACGAAATTAACCGTTACTAATAGCAAAGTTCTAAACCTTTCTTTCGAAAACTTCTAGTGCCGTCTCATGCACATTGTTATCGCTCAGGGCTCTCTACCATACAGCAAAAAGGAACACTGAGTGACCTATAGAGTGACGATGAGACGTGAGTGACGATAGAGCGTTGATATTGTTGTTAGTATCAATGGTCTCTTCAAGACAGATGAAATTATCCAAAACTACGATGTTATGCGCAGCACTCATTTTTAATTTCAAAGTGATCATAAAGCTTACTTTTAGACTAAGTTCTTAGTCCTTCGGTCGAGCCATGAACGCGACTAATCGCCTTAATGCGGATTATGAAAATTTGTCCACAGTTGTGAATGATGGTATTCCGCGGTGAAGTCCTCCTCCCTTCACTAATTTCGCCCCAAATTTGCGCTTCTTGATCGGGTCGCTGGACCTACTCGTTTCTGTCCGCAATAAGACCTCAGCGAATCCTTAAACCGAATGTTTTGTAGTGTTCAAGTTTTCAGAAACAAAAATTTTATTGGGAAAATAAATAATAAAAAATAATAAATTTTTATTTGTTAAAAATTTCGGATTCTAGAGTTATTTAAAAGCTTGTCCTCATAACGGAAGTACTGTACATTACGTTGATGATTGACTGCTGGCACACTCATTTGGACAATCGCCTACCGTCAGCAGGCTGTTTGGCTATGGGAACTTCCTTCCTTAACAGTTTTGATATTCTTATTTCCTCAAAATCAGCCCTACCCTTCGTACGGCCCGCCGTTGGCTGCTCTGCCGGCGTGAAAACACGGTCAGCAAAGCAATTAACCAAAAGTTCAAAGTTCAAAAGAATCTGAAGATAGTTGGAAAAGAGCGCGTGAAAATCTGCAAATGTGGGTATTTACGTATATAAATATATATACAAATGTATGTATGTAAATACACTTAAAAATGGACATACAAACTGTATGCTGCGCCAATATATGAGTGCAAATATTTATAAATGCATATATTTTAAATCTTTTTGCAAGACATACATACAAACATACAACTATAGACATGCACTTTCATATAATTCAGAGTTACGTATATATGTGTGTAGGCTTGCAGTGTGAAAATGCAGTAGTAACTATTGCAAGAGCTCTACCCATCCAGTTGATGCAGCAGCTGTTTACCGTTACTGGCATGTTGGGAAAGAAACCTATATATGTATGTGCTTATGTAATTGCATACATATACATACATTTATATTTGCGTTCCCATTGAACAGCTGCTTCATACTTTTTTTTTGCTGTTTTTGTAGCTGCGGCTTGTCGTTTGGCGCGTGCAAGAGCTCGTGTACGTGTCGTTGTCAAAAAATGTTTGACCTCATTTCTCTTGCCAGCATACCAAGACACATATATTCATACATACATGTGTTTAGAAACGTGTATACATATATACGAACACTCCATCACTCCGTCACTAACTCTATCGCATGCAATTGGATTTATTTCGCTTTTCTTTCTTTCTGTGAGGACCATAAGCCAGAGCCCAACCGGAACTTGATTTTAAAGCCGCACATTGGCTGCCATCTTCAGCTGAAGAGGCAAATGTATACTCTTCTTTTGCTCGCGGCTCCGAGGGTATGACCGCTTGCTGCGCCAACCGCGATCAACTTTAGTCACGGTTGTTGCTATAAAAGGCGTGGCAATTCATTATTAAAATATAATATTTGGCTTCCGTGTTTCGCATAATAATGAAATTAACATGAAATATTCACCTAAATTCATACATACGCACCTAAACTATTTTTTATAGGTTTCTTTAGGTGGGGATAAAGTCCGAGAGCTTGTTAGATTTCAATCAAATTCAAAGCACTTCTTCTTTCGTACTGGGGTAGACGCGATTGTAGGGGAGCTAATACTAACGCGCCAATTGAAAATACCAAGTATAACCAGATCCTTGTCCACCATGTCTTTTTACAACGGAGTGGAGGTCTTCCTTTTCCTTAGCTTCTACCGACGGGTACAGCATCAAAAACTTTCAAAGCTGGAGTATTTTTATATATTCGGATCACATGACCTAGCCGCTCCCCGCTGAACTATATCAATGACTCCATATATAGTCACAGAACTCATTGTCTCATCGACTGCGGTACTCTCCATTTCTAACTCGTAGATAATCATAAATCTCAAGCAAAATCTCGAAAACTCCCAACGCCGGATCAACAGACGTTGTCATCGTCAATAGTCCCGCACCATATATCATGATCGTTACGGAGCTCTTGGGTTTGCTTAAAGTCTCTTTACACAACGGTATGAGTTTCACGTGCATACCAAGTCTGAACTTAGGGGAAACTAGTTTTCGAAGGCTGTTGAAGGCTACTCTATAACTCACGAAGAGAGCAAATGTGGCCACGCCCCTCTTATGATCTATAATAAAGCAAGCCGCACTGATGAGGTCAAATCCAATTTGTAGAGGGTGGGCTAAAATCTTTCAGATAATACTATCAATAGGACCATATAAGCGATAAGGTAATTGGCACAGGCCCTTTTCTATCGATTAAGCAGAGCAATCTTATACTCCAATCTTGCTGTTGTTGTAGCTACAAAGTAATTGTCGCACTGGTTTTTTTGGGAATATTACGGCAGTGGTAGTCTCTGGACGGACAAAAATCCGTATAAATGCTCGACTGTCGCGAGAACTATTGGATAAAATATATAAATAAATTGGGAGGATAAATTCTTGACGATATTTTGCAAAGAAGCTGATGCACCACCATGTTTCAAAAGCTCTACTGGTAGGCCGTCAGCCACAGCCCTTTTGTTCTTCTTTAAGTGAGGAATCGCTATTTGAACTTCGACATCGTCAGGTAGTGGAACGTCTGTTCGTCTTCAATTGGGATTTTGTGTTCACCACCTCGGGGTGTTTAATTTTCACTGCCTCCCTGGATTCCCTCCATAAACTCAGTATACTCTAGGCACTGCCGAAAATCGTTTGTTTCCGCAGCGACGGTAAGTAGGGAGCTTGAGATTGCACAATTACCTTATATTAAGTTGCTGATGAGAGCTCTCAGAAAGTTAACCGAGTAGAAAATTGTTCGGGAGTCTGTTATAATTGCAACTTTTCATCGTTGAACCCCCTATTATTTATTGACGGACGTTTTTGATACACAGAGGCGAATGCGTATCTTTGCTGCGACAAGATGGTAATCGAAGTCGATCTTAGGAACGTATGCTTATCTAAAACACTGGTTACAAGTCTTTCATATATCACAACATGATCGATATAGTTGTGGGTTTTTCGATCTGGAGAGAGCCAATTGGATTAACCTTGATGGTCTTGGTATTTAGTTTCCTGCTTTAAACCATATGAAGTGTGTCGATGGGGGGTCTCTGAAAGTGGACGACATTCGCTTTCCACATTTCTGAAGCATGGTGAGCAATGGAAACTCTTATTTTTTGAGACGCTTTTGACTGTTCTTCATGACTCCATGCTAGCGTTTTCTGCTTAGCAATCTTAGTGGGCAAAAGACCCGAAATATTTCTTTTTCAATACAATAATTGTAATTAAGGTTTTTTGAAGTTATGCGTTGTGTAAGAAGAGGTGTGTGTCTAGTCTTCTTCTCTCTTCTTTCTATTTTTGAAAATTGTAATTTTCTTTCGAATTAATTACTGCATCGATTTCTTACTTTCACTGTTGTTGCACTAACCAACTTCAGAAGAAATCATACTTACGAGCATGAACATTCCAATAGTTTAAAATACACATATATAAAATACACATACAAATACAAAAGAGTCTCATGACCAAGTTTTCTGAAGTAAAATTTTTAGATTGGGCATAAAAACAAATTTGAAACATTTTTTGATATAAATATGTTTATAACAGTATAAACCCATTTAAAAGTGTGCACTTTGGCTCTAAACTTTCGTTGCAGTCGCCAAAATGCCATACGAATCCATGCACCATCATCAGTCATCAGCGCCCAACGGCATGTTGGACTCATTGAGTTTGCAGCTCCGTGATGCGGAGATGCGTCGCACTGAAATCGAGCGCGCACACCAGGTACGTACAAATCCAGCACATTTATACATACGAGTACATACACGAAAGGGCAAGAGCTGAAATTTGAAACGAACAACAACAACAATTAGTTGAAAATATAATAAAAACTAAATTACAAGCTTAATAAAATTTATGTTTTTAATAAACTTTCGTTACCTTGTTGTTATTGCTGTTGGTTTTTGTTATTATTGTCATTTATTAAAAAAAATTTTTTTTTGTGCAGGAAACATTGGCACAAATACGCAATTTGTCGAGCAGCAGTCGCCCGGATGCGGAAGCTGTGGAGAATTTACAGTCGCGTGCGCGTGAACTTGAGAAAAAAGTAAGTTTGCTGGTATATCCAATTAAAATTGTATGTATGTGTGTATGTGCATGTGCTACACAGGTGTGAAGGGATACGTTTTAGCAAATATGATTTCGCAAAAGTGTTTTCCCCACAACAGCAGGGTTTAGTGGATTTAGTTTATTTATTTGTTTTATTTTTTTTTTTGTTTAAACTAATCTCATTTAATTTTACTCCGTCAATTTGAAGGTGGCTTTGGAGAATGTTCGCTGCGAGGAATTGCAAATTGAACTGACGTCCGCCTTGAAGTCAAAATCAGCGCGCTCTGGTGGTGGTGTACGTAGCAATTATGGCGACATTATGGCATCTAGCGCTAGTGCCTCTTCAGCTGCCGTCACATCGGGCACAAGTTCCACTGTCACATGGGCACCGACAATCAGTCATCAGGACCAAGGATCTGAAATTGATATCATTATGGCGAAAATCGAACAGGTGAGCTGGAAACAAAAAATGAAATAAGATAATACAAAAACAAATAAAAAAAAAAATAATAATAAAGAAATAAAATAAAATAAAGTAAAAAAAAATATTTAAATTGAATAAGTTAATATAAACTATAATATAATTAAAAAAGATGAAATAAATAAGCAGAACATAGTAAAAAAATTGAATTAAATTAAATGAAGTGAAACAAGCGTAATAAAATAAACAAGCAAAACAAAACAAAGAGAAAACAAAATAAAATAAAATGAAAGAAAAAAAGAAGATAAAAGAAATTTTAATGATATAAAATAAGTTTATTTCAAATAAAATTAAAATAAAATAGAATAAAATAAAATAAAATAAAATAAAATAAAATAAAATCAAATAAAATAAAATAGAATAAAATAAAATAAAATAAAATAAAATAAAATAAAATAAAATAAAATAAAATAAAATAAAATGAGATAAAATAAAATAAAGTAAAACGAAGTAAATTTTATGTAAATATAAATATATACACAAACGAAAATGTGTGCAATGGGTTCTCCTCGCTTTCAGGATAATCGCGTACTGGCCGAATTGGAACAACCACGCACATCGGCCATGGGCATGTCTACGATGCCAACAAGTTCCATATTGAATACCGCAAATAGCGAATTTAAAACCATATCAAAAAATGGTAAATATTATACAAAAAATTATTAACAAAAATAAATTGAATCCAATATTTAATCGACATATTTCCACTTGTAGAACTAGAAGAAGAACTGAATCGTTATAAGCGAGCAGGTAAGTAATAATTCTTTTCTCCTTACTGTAAATAATTTAAATTTATACACACAACTCTCTCCATTGCAGTGTTGGGCGGCACAAGCGGCACCGCCGTCGGTAGTTCTGCGCTCACCAGTAGCTATGGTACCGCAGCCACCACCGGTGCTGGTGGTTTACCATCATCGCTTACCTCCACATTACCGAATGGCGCTGGCGCCATGTCAGCTGCATTAGTTGGTAGTGGATGTAGTAGCGGTATTGGTGTTGGTGGTGGTGGCGGTAGTGGCGGCAGTGGACCAGGTGGCGGTGGTGGTGGCGGCGGTGGCGGTGGTGTTATGGGCCTATCATCCATATCAACGCTGGTGCCCAACTCCATTGGCGGTATATCGTCGAGTTTGAGCAGTCATGCCATACAATCGATGAACGCGGCCGCGTCCGCCTATGGCGCTGGTCCCACGTCCGTTGAGAAACTGCTAAGTGGAACAAGTGGAATTGCAGGCGGCATTCCACCATTGCCGGTAAATATTCATACGATGAAGTCTATGCCATCAGCATTAAGTCAGGTAAACTATTTTTAATAATGAACGAAACAAAACACAAAATTCATCGAAAAGTAAAAACAAAAAAAAAAAAAGAAACAGAACCCAAAAAAAATTTAAAAGAAACAAAATTTTCAGAAAATTCACATATTAGTGCTTTGGATTCGAAAACTTTATTATTCAATTAAACTCTACTAACATATGTACATACTCGTATAATGTATAGAAACAAATAATTATCGATTATTATAAATTTTGATGACAATTACATACAAACGTAGTATCGAATTGGAATTGGCTTTGCTTAGGGTTTCGCAATTATATTGTAATCGTTCGTATTTTTTTTTATTAAATTTATACTAACTCATCCGCTTGTTATGCGAAAGAGAGCAAGAAGCAAATACAAAGTTATTGGTAAAATGTCAAGTGCCAGAGGATTTGCATGGAAAGCATAAAATGGCTATTGAGCGTACCAATTGACAATTCAAAATTAGTTATATGATGAAGATAAGTAAAGTTAATATAAAAAAAATATTAAGAGAAAGAAATATGATATTCGGAAAATTTTATGTTCTTGATGAAATGAATAGAAAAATTAAATAAAATTTTAATATTAGACACATTCGCTAATGCTTTTTATTGAAAATATTCTGTTTTCATAAATACATCTTTGAAATATAAAATTTTTATAAGGAATAGAATAAATAAATAAAAAATAAATAAATATTAAGCATTAAAAATTTCGTACTGATTTGAGATAAAAAAAGTAAAAATTAAAAATTATTTCACTTTTTAGTTTCAGTCTTCTTGAAAGATAAATTAAAGAATTACCATTAGAAATAAAACTAAAATCGCTCAACGCATTGCTCATATTCATGCTTTCCTTGCAACCTAACGGTTTTTATTGTTGTGCAGTAGTTTCATTATTGAAAATAATTTCATATATTATAATTTATGGCTTACTCATTTCTTTAAATCACAAACAAGTGAGTAAACAACTATACTCATTGCGTTACAGTTAATTATTTTCTGAGTTTTGAAAATGTTTATTCATAAAGTTTTTTAGTATTTACCTTTTACATTGTTTTCCACAACACTCGTTAAATATTTTTTATAATAATTCCTAAATAATTATAACCAAAGCTAAATTTATTTATTTAATTAATTTAAAGTTATTATATGCTTTACCATTTGTATGTATTCCTTTTATTTTGAAAATCTCTTAAACATCTCCGCGTAGTGAATTAAAGAGCAAAAAACACTAAAATCTTTCAAAACATAGAGTTATGCTCCAGCGATGACATATTTATCTGGCTTCAGCCTAAATATTAAAGACTTCGGAAAATTTGTTACCGCTTTTTTAATTGAATACTCTTTGAATTTTGTATAGAAAAAGAAATTAAGAAAGAAAAGTAAATTTTTCAATTATTTGTCACCGCTCAAAAGGGAATGTCAATCTGTCCGAGTTTATTTCCGACATGAAAATCAAAGCTCCTTAGAAATATCCAGCAGTTGTTCGGGGGCTGCTTTGAGTGAAATGAAAATCGCTTCAGCGGTTATATAATTTTCAAGTAATTTATAACTATATTTCTAGCTTAGCACATTATTTTGTTCCTACATTTTCGACCCGCTCGAGCCACACAGTAAATTTTTTTACTCTTTCGTATTCTGAGTTCACTGTCACCCTGTAAGTTTTGTTACCATCGAAATAGGAGGTAACAAACAATAAGCTTTTAGATTTTGTGTTGTTAACTTGTGAAAAAATAAAAAACCAAAATGTATAGACATATTTTAGTTCTAGAATTAATTAAAGGTGAAGAAAAAAAGGCAAGAAGGCGCATGTTAAGAAGCTTGCGGGAAAAAATGACCATTTTAATTTGTCATTCAGTATTTTCGCCTGAACAACACAATTTGTTTAGAGGTTATAAACGAATTGGCATCATATGCCAAGGAAGTAGATGTTCATTTTTATATGTAATTTTTGATTAAAATTTTTTTTAAATAGAAGACATCGTTGCCGTTTTATTTGATGTTTCTCTCAACAAAATATTTCTTTTCCCACGTGCCCTATCAGAAATTTGTTGGAATGAATTGTCTAACGGCAATGAGCCAACCTTCACTGCACTATATTTAAAAATTAATTGTCAAAGTAAAAGCCGGGAAAATTTGCTTCCCAACAACACATGAAATGCAAATATACAAATGAATATTCCTCTTTTTACTTTACCAACTGGCAAATGTGATTTGACGTGAACAGAAAAAGCAGTGCTGCCAAAGTTTTTTCAAACATTGTAACCACTTCGGCGGAATACCAAATTCAATTTCGGGTGTTAAGAAAATGTAACAAAAATTACTTCACCGGTAACAGTGAGAAGAAGCCTGTGAATGCGAAAATCGATGGAAAGCCTAAAAAATTACGACCAAAAAAAATTTTAAGCTCGTGTTCCGCTGCTCGAAAAAATCAAAAGCTTGAAAAAATCGAAAGAAGAGCTAGTGGTGAACTACTGACACTATTCCAAACACGTCAACCATATTTTCCATTAAAAAATGTTCGTTTGGGCGTTTGGCTTATTGGTCAACAAGAAAAAATATTATTAATTTGAGTTTTTTAACTTTTTTGTTTATTATTTCAATCGATTAGCACGTTATCGAGTATAACGCATCTAATGCAAAGCAATTTTGTTTTGCCTGAAGCAATGTTTGAGGAGGAATTATGCCATATCGGAAATACCCTCGGATGAGTTTGAACCAAACTTGGTAAACAACTGTCGGAAGCGGTTAAATTAGACAACTACAGCATATGGTTTTGATTCAAAAATGTGTTAGAAAGCATCTTAGAGCATGAGATTTGGTATACAAATTAAGATTGCCACCGAAAATCATCGAAAGCGGAGTACTATGTCATGTCTACCCCATATATAGATACGTTTAGATATGAGGTTTTGGTCAGCGATCCGTTAAAGCAGCATTCAAGAGCCGGCACCGAAAATTAACGAGATCGATTTTTTAAATTTGCCAAAAAATTGATGGGTTCATTAAGAGTATAAAGTTTTCGGCTTGCCTGTATTTTGGAACGATCGTCTGGTCAAGGCTTGAACAGATGATCTTCTGCATAGTAGCACGCATTGGTAAAATCTAGGCTAGTGCGACCTAAGATCGCTTCAGAATTAATATAAAAATATTGTCGGCTTGCTTTGAGCTGATGTCGATATTTCAAAAACTCAATTGTTTTCTTAATTTTTGCTCTTTATTTCACTGCGCTCTTGTCTTAATTTTTTTTAATATTCACTCAGTTCTTCTCGTTCAATAGATGTTGGTTCAAGAGAAAGATATTAATTCTTTAATAAATAATAAATGAATATTAATATGTACGAATGAGTATAAGGCCAAGTAAAAAGTTCGTTCGGTTTGTACATTTGTCCGATTGAAGTCAAATATGCGCTGTTTTATTTGTAAATTTGTAGCCAACGAGATGCCAATTTCATTATACCCCCTCTCGTTGAAGGCTGCGTCCCTATTGGCAAAAAACTCGAAAAGCCAATTTTCACAGACCTCTCTTGAGCCCAACTTCTTACCATTAAGCGCGTTCGCCATGGACAGGAAAAAATGGTAATCACTTGGTGCCAGATCCGGACTGTAAGGTGGGTGCATTAGAACCTCCTATCTGAGCTCCTGGAGCTTCTGGCCCGTCAACAAAGGTGTGTGTGGCCTGGCGTTGACCTGATGGAACATAATTCAGCCTCTGTTGAACAAATATGGCCTCTTCTGGATGAGTGCTGCCTTAAGCGGTCCAGTTGCTGGCACTAGAGGGCCGAATTGAGCGTTTGGCCATAGGGGAGCAGCTCATAGTAGATGATTCATTGCCAATTCTCCCCAAACACACAGCAAAACCTGGTGCATCTTTGACATCGAAATTACCGGAATGGAACCTAGCAAACCACTTTTGTGCTACACGTTCGTTTACAGTATCGGGCCCATAAACTAAATTAATTTTTTCAGCCGCTTTTCTGCTTTTTCGCATTGATCGATAAAAAATTGTAAAATATAGCGAATTTTCTCTTTGCTGGTGTCCATCTTCGACAAGCGCTCACAACGACTTAAGACAATCCACCGAAAAACTGTCAAAAACAAACTTTTAGCGCGAACACAGATTTTTTCAGCGCCGTATAGTATGACATGATGCGACATGTAACACTAGTACTATGGACTATAACGCCATATCTTAGATAAAAACCGAACGAACTTTTTACTTAACCAATATAATACATAAAAATAATAAAATATTTTAAAGAGAAAGGTTTTTTCACATCTTTCAACATTTCTCATGTTAGCTTCTGTTTCATTGGCATAAAATTGACCTAGGAGACGCCAATCGCTTGAGGCTGATGCATAGTTTAATACTAGTTCAATTATGTGTACATTTGGCTACACGCGTGATTCGAACTTCGAAGATCACACGATTTATTTAAGATATTTTCTCTATTATTCTATTCTCTTGAACGAATATATAAAATCAGAGTTACACCTAAATTACATATTTATTTGTCTATAATTAGGTTTAAAATTTGACATTGAATGCTTTATATAAAATTTCATACATTCTCTAGAAAACTGTTATTCTTTGCATCTTACCTCTTACATCTTACCTCGCGTTTTGTGCATGTTTTGCTTCAAATTTAGGAAATAAACTCTAAACGTTCTCAAATATTAACTATATTTAATAATGATTTCATAGTTAATGCCAGAGAAAGCGAATGCAAAATAATAAAAATACTAATTTGATTTGACAGAAAATAAAAAAACTGCTTAATGTAATGGTATAGACTAATAAATAAAGAGTATCGAAGAGTAGCTTCAAAAGGAAACGAACGTTAAATTGTCGGCAGACATTTGTATTATGTCCGTAGATTATATTTGTAGTTAGGCAAGGCCGCGGTAGCTTCCGATTTATGGCATTAATTATACATTGTGATGGCGCAAAGACTTGATCATTAGGCTTCGCTAATCTACTAAATATTTCGAGTCTCTAATAAACAAAGACCTACGACTTTAACATCGGCTATCTTCCATAGAATTTCCAGCAGTTGATGCACGAAATTCCAAGCCATAGCACTGCTCAAAGTAAGACAATAGCAAAGAAGTTGGCGGATCATTTCCTTCTCCTCGCCATTCTTGCAGCTTCAGCAGCAACTTCTATAGGGTGTCCCTAGTATCTCCGCATGTTGTGCTGGCAAAAAGTGACATGTGAAGAGTCCTAATACTTTTGATATGTTCTCTATTTTTAAGAAGTTGCAATTTCCTTCCACCTTGTCGCGTTCTATTCGTATGTAAATGAACGATGAAAAGCAGCTTGCAAGTGGCAAAAGGTGTAAAAATACGTTCTTCATCGAGAAGAATTTACTTGGTCGTACTTCGAATAGTATATTCTATCACCTTACAGTTTCTCTGCATGACCAAGGAATCTCCTAAGAGATAGCCTGTTCCATTTAACTATCTCCTGTAGAGACAGTACAGCACGATTTTGGAATTTAGCACAATCGGGCATAGTGCTTTTATTGCTGCCTGACTCTTGCTGAAAAAGAAGGTATCATTAACTTCGTAATGCCGTCTCCATATTAATAGATGGCTCCGCCTGAAAGACCCTGCAATAGTCAACTAGTCTGAAAGAGAGTTTTATTGACTCTTTCCTCAAGCTTTGATCCATCAGTAAATATCTCAAGGCTGCGACCCTAATGTGGTAACTATCTTCCCATTATTACCTGCTGGGGACTCGTGTACGAAAGAAATTTTCAGTGAATATAATTGGATCGCATGGATCATTTTAACTTGGTATGATATCGTATCTATCCAATATTTTCGAGTGCCCCAATAGTAGAGCGATCCATTGATTAAACGAAGTGCGACTATAATTGCTGACTTTTACTCTACCAGGACAAGTTAAAAGATATTGATATTGCACAGATACTGAGTTCACAGCCACGAACTATCGATTTTTTCACAACCTTGTAGCCTTCAGAATGTACGCTCTCGAAGACAGGTTGGCTCAACTCTGTGAATTTTAATAGCATTTTAAGCAAATTTTACCAAAATGTGCATTTAAAAAAAAAACCTGCCAAAAATCCAATTTGTACTTTATTTATTTTCCTTTTTTTCCCTTCGCCATGATTTTTACTGTCAACGAGAAGCAAATTTTTCCCATTTTGTCCGAAGGATCACCGGGAATTGCGTCACAATGACAGAGTTATAAATATTTTCCTTTGAAAATTTGAGAATTTATTTTTTCTCTAAAAGACAGTAAATACATATACAATCCATGTAACTTCTTAAGGTTCTAAATCGAATTATGATTGAATTCCAGTTGAGGGCTTCAGAGTATTTTATGCAATTAAGCCTTTTTAGTAGAAGATATTTCAAGAGCACATAGATAGATTATCTTATTTTTAAAATAGTTGATTTTAGTGATCTGTATCTCGAGTTCTTTGTATTACGCTAGATGGCGTTAGCAAGATTATATTTTGCACTGAAGCAGATGACAGGTGTTAACGAGAAAAAGACTTCTCAACTGAATGAAAGTTGGATCATTTACAGCAACGTCCAACGAAAAGGGTCGTGGTCGAAGGGCAGTGTGTCGCCTCAAACGGTTACTGGCCAGGATGACCAGGTGGTGGTGGGATTAGCATGCAATCATCCACTATGAGCTACTTTGGCAAAGAAGCCATCAATTTAATGCAAAAATAATGAATTACTTTTCACTAGACCAATATATAACCTTTGAACTCGTTCGAACCCTCAATTTTTTACGTAGAAAATTCCAAAATTTTATTACAATACATTTAAATAAAATGAAATGCATGAAAATTATCCAAAATTTCATTACTGAAACTGCTTTATGTATGTTATGTGTGTGTTAATTACTGTCTGTATGTATGAAAGTTGCTCAAAATTTTATATTTATATCGTACATATGCTTGTATTGATTGGTACTTCCTCTGCAGGGAAAAAAATAGATTATTACGGGAAATTTCTTATAAGGCACTAGTATTTTGAAGACGAAAACATACTGGTTTGTTGAAAACCAGAATTATACTAGTATTTAAAGGACAGTAATATACTAGTTACTGGTTCACCACAGACTGGAATTCTACTATTAGTTTGCCTAAATTCTGGTATATTAGCTAGTATTTTGTGTTGTTGTTTTGCAAAAAAAGCCGGTCTCATAAGTAACTATAAGTTCCGATCATACATTATTAGACTAATCGGTACAACAAAAACAAACAACCACTTATTAATGTGACTTTTTATATTTTATTCAATCGCAAAAACGATGAACAGTCCTAATTAAGCTTCAAATACAAAGGTCGACATTTGATCCACGAACTGGAAAGAAATAAAGTGCCAAATTTCAAGTAAAATGAACCATAAATGAATTTTTTTTTCAATTTCCGGTAAAAGCAGCTTTTCAAAACCATACTCAAATCCACCTGCCGAAAATAGTCGAACTGTTTTTGACTAATAAGTTCCAGACTGGTTTGAATTGAACTAGTTTCCAACTCATATGAGCGAATAAGTATTTTAACTGATATATATAAACTGGTATTTAACTAGTATGACGCTAATGCATAGACTAACAACTGACAGTTCGTAGGACGTCGCCAGTTGCTTGTGGAAAATTGTTGGAAGATCAACTATTAGTTGTAAAAATGTTGGATTCTAGTTAACAACTAGTTTTTTCCCCTGCAGGGCATATGTACATATATCAATATGTTCAAGTGTAAAACATTTTTTTTTTCTTTGAATTCGGTTTGATTTTAGAGCAGTGCATCCATGGGTATATTTTTTTTGTCTTCTTCTTCTTCATTGCTCTGGCCATTAATAACTTGAATTGCTGAAAAGTTTTGCTAGCAAAACGCTTAAACATATACATACATACATACATATGCATAGATAATTTAAATTGTTAAAAATCTCACAATTTCAAGTGTTGAGAATTAATTTCGCCTGCGCTTACATAAATACAAATGTAGAAAACATTCTATATATAAACATATCTACATATAATATATTCATGCCTCACCCATGTGTACGAGTATGCCTCTTGTTATACATACATATGTGCGTACACACATACATGTACGCATGCATTTCTGCGACATTTCATCTTCAAAATATTTCAAAACTAGTACCAAGTGCTCTTAGAAAACAAACAAAAAAATATATATGTATATGTAGTAAATATTATTAAGTCTATTTCTCATCTTCGTACATTGATTCGTACATAATTCGTATTATTTTAGCAGCATCCTCTTTCTTATTAGCATAATTATGTACCTAATAGTTCATATGTATATGTAATATACTCTAAGCTGCATACATATACATATATATATCTCCACATACTCGTTTATAGATTAAAAAATGAAAAAAAAAAATTGTCTTCGTACTGAAAGTGTAAACAACGGTAACTGAAAGCAAACAATTTTTCGTTTCTCTTTCCTTCTTTCATATGTGCTGTTGTCTCTTTCATTCTTTCTTTTTACAATGTAAATGTTTAAACAAAAATTGAAAAAAAAATACAATTATTTATGCTGTGAAACGTAAATCATTTCCTAATCGTTAAACTGTGTTGTGTCCTGCAATGATCAAAAACTTCTATTAAAATACATACATATATACATATAAATATATAAAAATATTAACCTTGTATTAAATATTCAAATATGTTGTTCTTGTCAAACTGTGGTACCGTCAAATTTTCAATCCAACAAAAAAAAAAAAATCGAACAAAAACAAAACTTCTCACTGTCTTTTACTCTTGTGTGTATATTTGCGCTCTCTCTCTCTCTCTTTCTTTTGTATATCTTTCTCTAATTTCCCGATTTGTGTGTGTGTCTGTATTTGTGTAATGTGTAAACAATAAACCTACTAACAATATCAAATATAAATATTTATTTTTTAAATTAAATAACTAAACATCTTTATTGCAAATTAAACCACACTCAATATTTATTATAAACCAACCAACCAAATAACGAATATTTTTTGGCAAAACTCGTAAAATAATATTGAAAAAAAAAAAAAAAATCCCAAAACAAACACAAAATAGCGTGGCACAATACAACTGTACAATTTACAGAGCACAACCATGCCCATCTTATCGCTGAACGCGCATAATATACCGACCGGCACCAGCAGTTACTCGGCACTGGGGCTTAGCGGTGCCGGTACCGGCGGTGTGCCACCATTAGGCTCCTCGTTAACACACCCCACCTTGGGCAATATGCTTGACACGAGCACTCTGCTGGGCACTACTGGTCTAACGGGTCTGAGCGGCGTGACGGGCGCTTCATCACTGTATGGTTTGGGTGCGAGCGCCGGTATTAGTGGTTTAAGTGGCTTAACTGCCGGCCTGCCAAATTCATATCCCCCACCGTTTATAGATGTTGGCTCGAGCGCCTCATATCCTTACTCCACGGCTGCATTACGTACTGCTACGAAAATGAAAATGCTCGATGAGATTGATATACCACTGACGCGTTATGGCAATCGGAGTTCACCATGCTCACCGATACCGCCCAGTACATGGGGACTGGATGAATTTACGGATAGTTTGAGTGCGTCAATGTTACATAATCGTGGCAATTTGGCACTGGGCGCATTGGATTTGGAAAGTGAGTAACGGAAAATGTGTGTTACTTACATACGTAAGATATACTTAACTGTTATATATCTTTTTTTCAGCGCGCAATCATAATTTGAATGGCATAAGTGAACCACAAGTGGATATGTTGGACATACCGGGCAAGGGACGTTGCTGTGTTTTCATAGCGCGATTTCCATATGATCCACCTGAGTAAGTAAAAGTTAATCAGTTAATTAAAGTTAATAAGTGTCAACATATTCTCTACTACATGTATGCATATGCTATCAGAATTTTCAAGTAAAAGATTGAAATCATTTGAATATGATTAAGTCTTACTAAAACTTGGGAAGCAGAATACTTCTCTTGTACGAGTATATCGCTAGAGGTCCAAGATTCCACACAGCTATGCCTATATTAAGATTTCAAGAGATTTATTGACACTCATTATTACCGTAGCATTTTCATACTCTCGTTTAAGTATATCAAGCTAGGGTTTTGAAGAGCTCTTGTTGTTTGAAGTCTATCCCTGGTTAGCGGTCTTACGTACTTCGCTATAACTATAATTGGTTCTAAGCATAAGTGTTGATCCCTATATTTGTCTGCCACTCTTTCATTGATCTTATATCGTTCAGTGCAGTAAACGTAATAGCTCAGCCAAAACTAAGATGGCATAACCTTAACTAATCTAATCTGGTCTCAAATAACCTAAAGCAGTCTAACTGAACCCAACCAAACCAAACTTGACCTAACCAAGTCTAACTAAGTCATTGAGAATAAAGTCCAAGCGCAAGATCGATGATATGAAACACGCTTGTAACGAATTCATGAAAATGCGTGGAAGCTTTCGACGATCAAAGAAAGGTGAATAAAACTTCATCATAAGCTAAACACGTTTATCAGCCGGTAGTTGGCAAAAAATAGAGTGACACCAGAGCATGTGTCTACAAAGCGCACTTAGGCAAAGATACTAAAAGATACATCAATTAATAAGACCCATAACTAACTACTCTAACTGCTAACCAAATCTAATCTCATCAACCTAGCCTAGTTACATAACCTATCATAATCTATCATTGAAAATAATTTTATTTAAAAAGAAACTAGTACTGGTTATATAATGTTAACGGTTTTGTATAAAAAAAGGGTTAATTTACCCCTTAATAGGGAAGCTGAAGGTGAATTATCGCTGTGCGCTGGTGATTATTTGCTTGTTTGGACTAGTGGCGAACCGCAAGGTGGCTATTTGGATGCAGAGTTGTTGGATGGTAGACGCGGACTGGTGCCTGCCTCGTTTGTACAACGTTTGATTGGTATATTTTTGAATATAAATTGTGAAATAATAATAATAATAAAAGTAATAATTTTACTTTATTTTCAATTTAGGCGATGATCTCTTGGAATTCCATCAAGCTGTACTTTCAACATTACGTGATGCTGAAGATGGCTCCATGCAATGTGACACCACTTCGTTACCCTCGCTGCCACCACATAATCCTTTGCTCACACACACCCAGGAGGATTTAGCGCGTTTGAGTGAGACGCACACTGATTTGGAACATGATCAAGATGATATAAGTGATAATGGTGAGGATTTTATCAAACATACACATACATACAATACATACATATACTCGTGTATGTGAAAGTATGTATTGTGTTAATTTTTTGTTGGATTTTATATTGAATATTAAATGTGTATTTTTAATTAATTAATTAATTAATTTGTTTTTTTTTTTCATTTTATTTTTCGTTTTTCGCTTTTCTGTATAATTTCTTTACATTTTGTTTTCGATGTTTTCTTTTCTTTTTGATGTGTTGTTGTAATCTGGATGTCGTTGAAACGTGAGCAAGTATACTCTGAAATGCGTACGAGTTATATAGGTTCATCGCAGCCATTGAATCAGTTGTTTCTAGGTTCAGCGCCTGCCTTTGAAGGCTAGTTGAAAATTATATGGATATTATTACATACATACATATGTATAAAGAAAAGTATTTTGTAATGATGCTAGTAATGACACAAAGAGATCAATCCCGGTGACAATTCCACTATCGATGTTCCTACTATTGTAAGAAATAAAACTGTGGAGGTGGGGGAGGGTTTTAAGCTGGGCAACTTATATTGCTATAATATACCGTTAAATGGCTAAAAGTATTTTTAAAAGCGGACAAATTAAAAGATTTGCTCTAAGAAGACCCCGAAGAATAATCTTACAACGGGGTGGCATAGATATCGAAAGCTGAAGTGGGTGAGAGGCTAGAGAACAAGGGTAGGTCGGCAAGAGTAATGCACGAAAAGTCTACAAAAACATGCAGCGACTTACAGCAGGTTTCAGGACCGGAGAAAACACTCGTAAGACACTGAGAAGGTATCTAGCCATTGATGACCAGTGTACACTGAATATATTTATCGAACACTTCTCCAGCCTGCTGAATGGCAGTGAAAATTTAATTCCCGGAGATGGTGAACCATGATGATCGAAGGGACGTTACATTACCCAACTATGAAGAAGATCGAAAAGCAATTGCTTGATAGAAAAAACAGCAAAGCGCTGTCGCCTTAGAAATGCCGACCGAACTATTCAGAAAGCAACCCCAATGATTGGAGCTGAAGGAAGCTCAATCCACAAAAAACCACAAAGCTCGCGATGCCACAGTCTAAGCAAGTTAGGGTAACAAGGGTTAAGTTAGGTTGTGGTGGCTAACGATTTATCGAGTCGCATTCACTTCGGCTTGACTAAGATCTATTGTGATCACACAAATACCTCACCATCATTCTTCATTATCCAGCCATTTTGATTCACTAATGAACCTTATTAGATCCATGACTTTGACGTCGGATATCTTCGATAGCCCATTCAACAGCAGTGTACCGAAATTCCGACACCAGGGCCTGCTCAAAGCCAGACAGTCAGATAAGAGATAGGTGATCGTTTCCTCCTCCTCATCTCCCCTGTAGCTTCTGCAGCGTCTCCTATAGGGAGCCTTCTTGATATCGCATACACGGTCCAATCGAGCGTGTTGTGTTCAAAGCTAAAAAAAAAAACCAATGTCAACAAGCTGATTGAACCTCATCAGTGTGGCTTTAAGACCTCGTAAATCCACCGTGCGCCAAAGTTTCGAGAAGACCCATGTAAAGTCAGTATTAAAACCGTCGCTTTGTCTAAATTCGGTATCCACGAAAAACGTATACGACTGCTGTATGAGATCAAGGGACAGCGGCTACGCTGGCTAGGTAATGTGGACCGGATGGTTAAGATTATTTCAGCTTTGAATGGTTTCTATGCAGTACCGTCGGTGGAGGCTGAGGAAGATGAAGCTTTCGAAACCTTTTGCAGCATGGTTTTAGGCGTACAATTTCATACAATAGTAGGAATATTCGATTTGTTGAGAATGTCAGAATTTGAGAGTAAAAGTCATAATTCATTTAACAGTTATTAGAAAAAAGCTCCATTGTATATATGCAAATATTTAAAAGAGGATAATTACTTTTATAATGCAGTAGTTACTACTCACCAATGTGCCATGAGTTGTGTACGCGTTTAGCTCATTTATAGATAAAACGTTACAAATTGATACGCTAGAGAACTGCTCCTTCCATATGAACCCAAAATAATGCTCGACCTTCTCAGTGTAAATTTAACATTAGTAGATTGTTACCCCGTAAACCATATGTATATATTGCCACCGAAACTCTTTGCTCTCCACAGTTCCAGCGCCAAAGCACTTAACTCTCGAACGGCAGTTGAATAAAAGTGTGCTCATCGGTTGGTCACCACCTGAGCCGGTTGGTTACAATCTAATTGATAGCTATCATGTCTATGTGGATGGTGTACTGAAAGTAACGGTAAAAGCTAATGAGCGCACACGAGCGCTTATAGAAGGCGTAGACTCGAATAGGGTAAGTGGGTCATTTAATTCTGTGTAACATGTACCTAATCTCCTATGCTTATCCCAACGAAACATAGCCGCATCGTATTAGCGTTCGCAGTGTTACACAAAATCGCCAGACATCACGTGATGCCGCATGCACAATGATTATAGGACGCGATACCTCGCATTTGGGTCCATCAGCAGTACGTGCTTCACATATAACGTGCTCATCGGCGGTCATATCATGGTTACCGGCCAACTCTAATCATCAGCATGTAGTGTGTGTGAATAATGTGGAAGTGCGTACCGTTAAGCCGGGCGTCTATCGACACACCATTACCGGGCTGGCCCCGAGCACACAATATCGTGTTACTGTACGTGCTAAGCATTTGCGCGCAGCCGGTGGACAACCAACACCGGGTCGGCCACAAGAGGAAGCACCGGGTGCGTATGCTGACTTCCGCACATTGACTAAGGGTTTGCCCGATCCGCCGCAGGTTAGTTAAACGAATAAAAATACTTATTTATTTTATTATTTATTTATTTATTTATGTATTTTTTCACATTTTCTCTTTTAGGATATCCAACTTGAGGCTGGTCCTCAAGATGGTACCATTTTGGTGACATGGCAGCCGGTTAACCGGCCAACATCTTCTGGCCCCGTAACCGGCTATGCTGTGTACGCCGATGGTAAAAAAGTGACGGACATTAATTCACCAACTGGGGATCACGCTCTCATCGATATCGGCAAATTGGGCGTATTCAATCCGCGTGCAGTCACCATACGCACCAAATCGCGAGACGCACAATCGGCCGATAGTGCACCAATACTAATACCAAGTGAGTTGATAGAGGGGTATAAAGTGAAAAATATGTACATATATAATATATGTACATATGGCGTGAAGAAAAAAAAATGTTTTGTTGAGGTTCACGCTTTTTAGACATGGGGTTTTCAAGAAGAAATAAAAGGCATAGAATTTAATGTTACGTCATAGAATTTACCTTTACTATAAAGATAAAGGGTTGCCATTATGTTTTAGAAATGATTTTGGGCAAGTGACTGCTGAGACTGGCTCGAATTAATTCCAGTCGAGAGTTTCCGATTTTCAACCACTTTTTGCAGCAACGAAGCGACGAAGACAAGCGACTTCACATAACCTAACAAAAATTAACCTAGCGTTGTTAAATCGAACGATATTGGAGACCACACCAAAGGCCCACCAAAAGTTTCCATAAATTTATTAACTGCTCTCATGGCCATATTACATGTAGTGCAGTCTTGTTGGAACTAAAGATCCTCCGCATGAATATCCGAAAGAAAGAGTGTACATAGCTCGTTGAAATTCGACAATTTTATTTGAAAACACTCATTTAGCCATCCTGGAGCTTAATCACTGAACAGAATTTTCTAATAAAATTGGGATCGGTAGCCATTCACCGAAAACGCGACGCGCTTGATGGTCGTTCGGCTTTAATTCTTTCAAGAGTTGAATTTTGTAAGCCAGCGAACCAAGATCTTCCGGCATAATTTTCCATATCGTGGATGGGCACAGTTCTGATTGTTGCATGCGATGGAGGAGGGATTAATACGGGTGTTCTTCACTACTCTGCTCCACAAAGTTGCTCCGTTCGCCGACTCTGCTGGGTGATTATGTCGACTGAATATTGGGCACGAGCCTAACTATTATTTTGGTAATCAATTTGCTGGATTTTCAAATGTTCTTCCGGTGTGAGTTTGTGCATTATGAAATGGTAAACCAAACTGCATATAAATCATGTAGCAGCCGTCAAATAGGCCAACCTCATTGAAAACCGCACGTTTAAAAAATAAAACAAAAAAAAAAAACAAAAGAAAAAAAAACAAAAAAAAACACACACACTTCATTCAACTTCTGTACTCTTTAAAAAATCTCACTTCCCCATTTACCATTTACCATTTACAGATAACGTGCGCAGTGCAGTCGGCCGTCGAGGACCTCAACAAATGGGCATGGGACCGCAACAAATGCAGGCCGGCCCGCACGGTATGCCCGGCCAAATGGGCATGCCTGGTCAACAGCAACAACAGCAGCATATGATGGGCCAGGATCCGCACCAATATGATCCGAATCAGCAAATGCAACCGGGCCAACAGCAACAGCAGCCGGGACAGCAACAGCCTGGGCAGCCCGGACAACAGGTGAGCTGTAAAATGCATAAATAACATGTTAGCCACAACATATACATACATACATATATACAGATGTACAAAATATAATCAAAAAAAAAAATATATAAAAAATAAAAAACGACAACACTTACACTCAAACTATGTATGATTTAGTTGTTAAACTTTACTATCGATGACTGTCGATAGCATTTTCACAATATCGAGTACACAGTCCAACATACAAGCCATAGTTTGAGAATACCGTTGTAAATAAAGCGCTAATCTACTTTTTGCACAAACAAAAAATGCAGTTATTCCATTGCATTTAAAATCTTTTCAACGAAATTTTATTTGTGTTTTAAATATATTAAATTTTTTAATGTAATTATTCGATGTTTTTCAAAATTCGGGAATATAATTTGAATATACAATTTAATGTAGCTCAGGCGCGCTATAAATAATTTCGATTCATACATATGTACATACATACATACAAGCAGACAGATTAACAAAAAAAAAAGTAAAAATTTTTAATTTTCAATGAATTTGCATAAAACGCACGATTGAATAAATGTACAGTCACATTTACTAAATTGAAAAAAAAAAGAAAACACAAACGCACAAATCTCACAAGCACAAATCTCAAAAACACAAAAACTTGCTAAAACACATTTAAATATATATTTGTTTTTAATTGTGCTCGTTTTGTTTGCATTTGCAACAAAAATTTGTTTCTTCGTAAAAATCATTTCTTCTTTCAACATAAGCAAAAACTGTTTTATATATGTATACTTAATGTCTTAAAAATGTTTATACATATATACATACATACATACATACATACATATGTACATAAAAAACACCGTAAGTGGATCTGTAATTAATATAAATTGGCTTATGGAAGAGTGATTAAATGTGGGGAACAAATTTCAAATAAGAACAAGCAAACAAAATATTTCGAAAAATCGTCTCTATGTGAATTGAGTGGATACGAGTATACCGCGATAGACAGTTATTAGCGCACTTGAAACAAAAATAAAAAAAAATGCGCTTACATTTTATGAGGAGAAGCATATGCATTTAATTAAATACTTATGATTTAAATTTTTTGTAATTACTTTAAATACAGAAAATTGTACCGTTACTACTGCTTTTGAATTATATATATATAATTGGCGCTTTGTAACCGCTGAAGCGATTTTCGGCCGAGCTTCTCCTCTATGTTTAAATAAACTGTGCCACTCATATATGATAGATTTTAGTGGACAACAGTCGCCGTTCCCTTTCTTAAGTTTCATATCAAGATATCATTACCAGTGGTACAAATTACCATCGCGGCTGTCTCGAATAAATTCCAGCCGAGAAGCCCAATTTTTCGACCACTTTTTGAAGCAATCGGGGCTGTGTGTCAGCAATAACGGGCTAAATATTCTCTTTTAATGCGTCAATCGTATCGGGCTTATTTGCGTAGACAGGCGATATAAAAAAAAATGCCCAGCAGGCACAAAAAAGCTTCTATTGTTACGCGCGATGGGCAAATTCTTGTCTTCTACGGCATTCTGCTCTACAGCAGAAACAGCGTCTTCGGGGTTCACTGTGCGACGTCCTTGAGGACGCACATTATTCACTAGAGTACGTGGTACGTGGTACGAATCCTATTCTTGGTTGCTCGAATCACCGAGTCTACCGACTGAAATTTGTTCGAAGCGCGCGAATCGAACGTATAAATTTTGCCCGATTTGCAACCTTGCCCGCATTAAGTCTGTTCATTATGGAATGGCAAAACAAAGTCAGTATAAATGAAGTAGGAACTGTCAAAGAGACCAAATCTACTTGTCCAAGTAACACATAAAGTTTATTTTCTTTCCTAAGTGAGTAATAAATATTTTCGTATCAAAAAGTTCAAGTTGCCTTTGTTTAAATGAAATATTAATCATCGTAAATAGCAGTGATTCGAGTTTAAAAATATTGTAAATATTTCAAGTCATAATTTGCAATGCAATAAAATTCACGGAAATTCGCATTATAAATATAATATTTGGCCTATCACTCTTCCATTAGCAAACGCTCACGTCTGTGTTTATTTTCCGCCTGGACACTATTTAAATTCCCTTCAAAGCACATCTTTACTCTATCTCTCTCTCTCTCTCTCGTTCTCTCTCTCTGTGTAACCAAACTTTCACCTATACTTTCCCAAAACTTCTTTCCAAGTAAAGCAAAAAAAAAAAATAAAAAATTTCCAAATTAAAGCATAGTTCGAAAATTTGTATCCCCTGGTTTCGCAATGAGTTTGTTTTCATGTTTTTAGTGTTTTTTTTTTGCTTCCAGTTAAAAAAAAATTGATTAAACATTATAAATCAACACTGGTCAATACGAATTTGCGGTCTGAGTCCTACATGAAAAAATTTCCGTTTTCCGAACACTAAAAGCAATTAAAAATAATTTTTTTAGCTAAAGTTTGCTTTTGTACTTCTTCTCGACAGTACAGCAAGAGGTCATTATTCGGTGTTTTTCAATGCTTGTCGTCAGAATTTATGCATGGGCACAGTATTTCAAAACAAAACTTATTTTTTCTGTTGACCGGTGCAAGAAAATGCAATAAATAGCACAGAATTCACAATAAAATTATAAATTTTTCTGTTTTCCAAAAACGTTTACTCCTGTATTAACCATATTTGAACGTCCTTGTTAGTAATAATTTAAAAAAATTAGTGAAAAGTTCTGAAAAAATGTATGTATGTAAAGTTTGGAGTATGATTTTCAATGTTGAAAAGTTGAAAACAAATCTATAGGACTTTCAAAACAAAAAAAAAAAAAAAATATTTATTTATTTATTTAAAAAGATTTTCGCATGTCGCATAAGTTTCGCAGAAACAGCGCAAATTTTGAAAATTTAAATTAATTGAATTGAATTCAGAGTGATTTTTGCACATTTTTCGGTATTTTTTTTTTTTACTTAAAAAAGTATGAGTTTTCAATTTTTGAATTTATTATGGGAAATAAAAAAAAGCATATAAACTTTCATACTTCAACGTAATTTTAGTATTTACAAGTTAAAAAATACAAAAAAAGGAGAAAATTATAAACTTATGTATCAATGTTATATTTTAATAGAGTAACATACATACCTAAATACTCGTGTATATGTATTAAAACCAATATACAAAATATAAACAACAAAATTTTTACTTAACATTCAAACAATTCAATTGCATAAAAATTAAATTCAAAAATCAAACCAAACCAACATTTTACAACAATTTTCATAAAACCCAAACGCATCCATCTATATGTAATACTCGCACTGCAGCCTGACGGAAGCCATGGCTTATTAGGTGGGCTGCTCGGTGGCCTCTTCTCAAAACCCACTACTCAGAGTCAAGTGAATCAGAATGTCAATGTAAGTTACTCACCCAACAACACATAAACTTAACACATACTTACTTACTTACTTACTTACTTACTTACTTACTTAATTCCAATACTTAATTTCCTATCTACAATTTAAATTTAATACTTTTTACTATTTATATACATATATACTCTTATAACAAACATACCTATGTACTTAGAGAAACATACATACATATGTGCATAGTTAAATACTCAACATCAATTTAGTGATATTTATTTTCCAATACTTAAAACCTACGATTAGTTGCCAGTTTTGCTGACATTAAGGAACATACATATGTACATAAAATATATTATTGAAAAGACTAGTTTTTCTTTCAAAACTCAGTAACTTTTGATAACGTGAATGCATTTGTATGCTTAACATTTAATACCATAATATTGTAATAATAATACACATGCATACATACACACGTATACTATATTTCTATACAATTCATTTACAGCGTTAATATTATATTTTACAATTACATACACGTATACATATTCGTATGTACTTTTTATGAAAATACTTCCGTACATACATACCTAACTCCATATCTTGAAAGTGTTCATCTTTATTACATTTCCTACATTTTGCTTGCGAAAATCAAAATCAAAAATCATTTTTACCCTCTAACATCAAAATTATTTATATACATATTTACATACATATATGTAATTCAAAATAAAATTGTATGAAGCTTTTGATTTAGTACTCTTGTGATTCTAGCGGATGTGTAGCTTTAGCAGACCGAAATTTTTCAATTAGTTAATTCCCAAAAAACCAAAGTTTACCTCACGCACATCTGTAGATACATATTATTATTCTTTAGTGAAAATTTTCGAATATTTTATTTTGAAAGGAGAAAAATATAAAATGAAATAATTATTATAAAAATTTCAAAATTTTCAAAAAAATAAATGAGTTTTCAAAAACCTTTTAAACTGAATCGTAAAAATTAATGCATTTATGTACACACATACATAGATATCTGCTTACAACCATACAAGTAAATATGAATAAAAAGGACCACTTAAAAGAGAAAGGACAAAATAAAAAGAAAGTGTGCTGTCTTCCATGCCATGCCAGTTGCATGATGTCCATATGCTCGTATTATAGTCTTCCAATATAGTCGGTTGCTATAAATTACCCATGTGTAGTAGAAATTTATCTGCGCATATATTTTGGTTAAAATATAATTTCTCAAAGACTGCGTTTTAATAGACGCACAGAGAGACAGATGGATATGACTAAATAGACTCAGCTCGTTGTGCTGATCCAACCAGTATAAATTTCCGCTACTTATATACTTCAGACCAAGTTAGTTTGCTAGTTGAACAATTGAGATACCAATTAGTTTCCTCTCACCTTTGCGAGTACCTAAACTTGGTGGGTATTATGAAATTCAGGAGGAGGATTAATGATGCCTATCGATGCAAGCACTGCCAGGCAATCGTAGCAGAAATTTCCGAGAAAACGGTAGTGGACGACACTGTAAGCTAGGCAGTGACAGTGATAATGCGCCACTGATTTCTCCTCACCTACATATGTCCCTACAGCTAAGGCAGAAGTCGTTCGAGCAGCAGTACAACCTTCTATCTTGAGTCCCCAAAAGATAATGCCCGGTTATTACGCCCTTTGCTATGCTTATCTAGGTCTGTGTTTAAGCATGCCCAATCTTCCCTGCATTTTTTTGGGCATTCGTTTTTGCTTCCTCTCATTTTGGGGTGCATGTGTGTGTACATATGTGCATATGCTTGAATGCTTATATGTGCATTAGTACAATTCTTAGGTGAACAGTGAAGTGTTTATTAGATGCTAAACTCAGGGTGCTTGGTAAAATATTTCTCAGTTTACAAACTATAAATCCACCCACATTTTATAGACGCAGGAAAATGCTTGGAATATTCTTTTTTTTAGTAAAACTGAAAAGCTTTCTTATAGGAAATAGCTTGACGTGTAATCACGCCTCTAATTAAAAAGATGTCATAAATAAAATACATATAATTCTATAGATCAATAATCGATAGTATCTTTAGGTCTTTAATTTCAATAGAACTTTCTAACTGTTTCTTTCTGCTTTCTACTTTACTTTAAACTGTGTACGAGTACTTTTAACTATTGAAAAAAAATAAAAAAAAATAAAAATAATAATAATTAAGTAGCATAAAGTGACTCGCAAAACCTCATTTGTTTGATGTAATGTGCCTTAAAACTAACTTTTCTTTTCTTAAGTTCGCTTCTTTTTTCTGTTTGACAAACTTAATACCTACCTACTTGTAAACATAACCTCATTTGTTGTCAAAGCTAAATACGAATCGTTGCCACAGTGAAAATTTTGTATGCAAAGCAAAAATGTATATACATAAATAAAATCGTAGCATTAAAAGATTTAACTAAATTTCAAAATTTTTTTATACCAAAAAAATTCATGCCTGATTTATCATTGCTTAACAATATTCATTCGGTTCAATTTAAAATCACAACAACAACAACAACATTTACCACGTCGAATACCACGTTCAACGAAACAAATCCACGATCAACTGAACAACACAAAAAAATTGCTTGCAACAATAATAAAAACCACTGACGGCCAACAAACAAAAAAAGGGCTATCAACCGGGTACAGGGCAACGTCCTATGATGCAGGGCCGACCACCAGGTCAGCAAATGATGGGCGGCCAACAGCCTGGCCAGCCACCGTACGGTCCTCAAGGCCAAATGGGTGCTCAGCGTTTTCCCGGCCAGCGTGGACCGACGCCGGGTCAGTTGCAAGGTCAAATGCAGGGTCAGATGCCCGGCCAAATGCCCGGCCAGATGCAGGGTCAGATGCAGGGACAAATGCCCGGCCAAATGCAAGGCCAAATGCCTGGACAAATGCCCGGTCAAATGCAAGGCCAGATGCCCGGTCAGATGCAGGGTCAAATGCCCGGACAGATGCAGGGACAAATGCAGGGTGCCATGGGTCCGCGTGGACCGCTTAATCCACAACAGCAAATGCAGCAGACACAACAGCAGCAACAACAACAACAACAACAACAGCAACAGCAACAAGCGCAAATGGGTATGGGTCCCGGGCAACAGCCGTTAACCCAACAACAGCAACAGCAACAACAATTGGCAGCACAAAAGAAGCCAAGATATTTCGTTGCTATGTTCGACTATGATCCAAGCACAATGAGTCCCAATCCAGACGGATGCGACGAAGAACTGCCATTCCAAGAAGGTGACACAATCAAGGTATGTGATAGTGTTAGTGTGGGGTAGAGAATAGTTGTAGAAAACTCACTTAAATTTGTAGTAAATGTTTAGGAGTAGTTTACACTATACAGGGTGGGTTGTGAGGGTATAAAATAAATATAGACAAACAAACAATATATATATATATATATTTTCCAAACAATAAAAGGCAAAATATAAAACAAACACAATAAAAGTGCGGACCCAAAGCGAATACACCATTCGTGGTGAAAAAGGTGAGCTTGTAGTGTAAGTATGGGAAAGATGGCTCAGTTTGAAGGATAGTGTCCCTTTTTCCTTAGAAAACCAAGAGCAACCAGCTTTTATATTACAAGGTAAAGCGAAATACACATACATACATACATACATTCACTTACAATATAAATATATATATTTTTTTCATGTATTCTAAGTTTTTATTTTTCTAATCGGATTAAAAAAGAATCGGTGACAGAATCGGATTTAGTACACAAATACTAATTTTAATTTAGCAATTACAATTTGCAGTAGTGATTCTTGAACACTTTACCCAAGCTGCATGTCTTAACCGTTAGTCTATTTGCTATATGATATTTAATCATCCGCTGTAGTCTTGTGTTCAGAATAAAAACTAAAATCCATTTTCTAGACTTTCACTTAAGTGTTCTCCGTATAAATGTTATAAGAAATAAGTAAATATATTATCATATATACAATATATATATACATAAACGTATAGTACTTTTCGCATATACCGGAAAGTATTCTTTTTTACATTTCCCGCCTGGAAAACTCTCACCTCGTTCTCATCTTATCCAAACAGGTTTATGGTGATAAAGACGCCGATGGTTTTTACTGGGGCGAATTACGCGGTCGGCGTGGTTACGTGCCTCATAATATGGTAACCGAAGTGGATGACGGTACCGGTGGTATGGGTCAAATGCCCGGCGGTCCACCACAACCCGGTGGGCCGGGTCAAGTGATGCCCGGTCAGGGTGGCCCTCAGCAGAGTATGCGCAATGTTAGTCGCGATCGTTGGGGCGACATTTATGCTAATATGCCGGTGAAACGTATGATAGCGCTGTATGATTACGATCCGCAAGAGTTGAGTCCGAACGTGGACGCCGAAGTGAGTACATAGTATATGCATAATTAAGTTTCTTCGAGACAATTTAAAGACTTCTATGTGTAATGATTAATATAGAGTTTAGGTAAATATTTTCTGTTAAAATACTTTTTTGTTGTTGGTATTGTTTAGCGTAAGGAAACAAGTAGCGGTTTCCTAGGTGGTTTTATTGATGATCTCTTTGGAGCACCTCAGCCAACCAAGAAAACAACGCGCGAAGTGAGTGTCAATAATGTCACCGATTGCAAATTTCTATAACTTCGGCTTGCTAAGTAACCTGCCAATGTTGCACTATTTAAAAACCAGCTAGTTATTGTACATACCGTTTGATATAAGTCGACCAGAGGTTCACCGCGACATCATCCGCATGGAATCCGAAGATGCTTCTAATAAGATTTCCATTGGGGTTTTACGTAGTTTTCTTTATTAAAACTTGTAAATCACTATGCTGAATTATAAATATGAAGAAAATTTATAATTTACCACATACGTGTCTCGGCACAGATCTATCTATATATGTTCCATATATCAAGCATACCGAAATATGAATACGATTTTTCCGAACAGATTTCCACATATTGACCTTGGCAGCCATAAGGACCATCTACATAAGGTCCACATATTACGAAAAACCGAAGCAGATACACTTCCCGGAAGAAAAAGCTGTTCCACATGTCAATTTCGGTAAAGAGTTATCTCAGTACCAAATTTCTTGCAAGATAAAAATAAAGATGATTTTTGATTGATTTTTTTGAATGGATCGGTCACAGGTGCACCACTCGGAAAATTCCTTCTTTCATACGCAGAAGAAACTTTCTAAGATGCAGGCCTATACGAACAGTCGTTTAGGCTGGGTCGGTCATAAAAAAGGCTTTGCCCTGAATGACAGGATTTTCCAATAAGAGGTATTATTTTGATTTTCAAAGCAAAATGGATTTTCCTGGGGTACATGATCGGATGTTTATTGCAATGTCTAGAGAAAGATATGCATAAATTATGGAGAACAATATCAACCAAATCCCATACAGCATCTCAATGGCTTCACGAACTCCACACTTCAGGTATTGAATTCGCGATTCCATATTTTCCTCGTGGCCCCAAGGCGTTAAATCACAAAATCTCGGTGGCCAATTGCGACTTCCTCTTCATTGCTTGTGTAGCTTGTAGCGCCGTGAAGCGTTATCCAAATCAATACCATCAAACTCCTGTCATACAGAATCATTAATCTTCTATTGATAGCGCAGTCCATTTACCGTAACTCTTGTTCCAGCCCCATTTTTTAAAAAGTATAATCCAATGACGCCGCCCGACCACAAGTCGCCCCAAGCAGTTACATGTTGAGGATGAAGGGTCTTTTCATCAATAAATATTGGATTTTCCGAGCCCCAGATTCGTTAGATTTGCTGATTGAGGGGGTCATTGTGGTGAAAATGGGGTTCATCCGTCATCTGCTCATGCACTTCAAGGACGCAAAGACACGAGGTTGTTGATGATCGGCCGTTTGGGGTTCGTGTGTTAACTACACTTCATAAGCCGTAAAATCAAAATCTTTGTGCAAAATACGGTATAATGGCATTTGTGGAATGACAAAGAATGGCCACACTTGAGTTATCTTCAACTCTTTGTGCTACAGCAAGAAAATTCTCTGTTGTTCTTGAGCGAGTCGATCGTGTTTTATTCTTCACATCATTTACTTGTACCAACAACTCCATTTTTTCCACCAAAGCGGTCCGACAGAGTGCTTCACGAAGACCGAGTAATCTTTTAACTTTACGAATCGTCTCTGCCTGGTTTTCACTATATTTATAGTGAATTTTAATCATTTTTATATACAGTTGGCGTTTTGTAACCGCTGAAGCAAGGTGCTCCCTCATTTTGGGACTTTCGTCTTGATGTTTTTCAAACAGATAGAGGGACCTACAGTTTATACTAAGCCGCTTTCGAACGGTTGATGGTTTATTTACGAGGAGCCTTTATTTCATGTCAGAAATGCACTCAAATGGTTTCACATTCCCTGCCGAGGGTCGGTCACATTTAGAGAAATTAATATCTCTATAATTTTTGGATGTTTGGTCAGAAGAGTGCTAGAGAACCTTGTCCTTCCGAATGTTAGTACACAATGACAAGCATTCGGCTATTGCCGCCGTCGGTAGTTCCAGTAGCCTGCTAGACGTTCCCATTAACCCATGTACCAAGCAACCGTAACAACTGAACTTGTGATTATGCCCAACCAGAAATAGTTTCGAATGGATATTATTTAACTAATATAAACGAGCTAAGCTTATGCACTGTAAACTTTACTTTCTTTTTTTATTTCGTTTTGAATATTTTTATTTTTAAAAAAGGTATATTTGCATTTACAAAAAATTCTGGCAATAAAATATTTTTTTATCTTATTTTTTTTTTTTAATTCACAGCAAGTGGAATTGAGCTTCAAAACGGGTGAGATAATACTCGTTTATGGTGATATGGATGAAGATGGTTTCTATATGGGTGAATTGGACGGTATACGTGGACTCGTACCGTCGAATTTCCTCGCCGATGCACCCGATCAGTACAACAATCAAATGGGACCGGCTGGACGGGGTGGCCTAAGTCAGAGGGGTAGAGGACAAGGCCCCGGCGCTAGGGGGCCACCACCACCGCCGAGAGACAATATGATGCCCGGCATGACCGGGCAACGTGGTCCGACAGGCAAAAGTAAGTGAATTTTGTGTCAATTTTTCTGCTGCCATGCTATTTATATGTACATACAATGTATGTATTGTAGTATGTTTAACATAAACATACTATATAGTGTATAAATAAGTACAGACTTACACACGTACTAACTACAACTACAATACAACTAATAATAATACAGAAAGAGAGAGAGAGAGAGAGAGAGAAAAAAAATTAAACTTCAAATCAAAATTGAAAGAAAAAATATGATAATTTATACTTATATAAGACAATATGAACAACGTTTTTTTTATACTTACATATACGTACAGTAATATATACATACATACGTGTATTTGTACTTTTTATAACTGTCTTTTTTCAACAAATTTTCTGTATGTGATTTATAAGTTTGTAATTTGTATTCTTTTTTCATTTTTTCATTTTATATTTATTTGCCTTCGAATGAAATAATAAAATGTACAGTTGAAGGTCAGTTTCTACATATACATAGTATACATAGTGTAATGGCATATGCCTAATTTATCTACATACATATATGTTATATATGCATAAATATCTGTTATATAATATATATATTTCAATGACTACATTTGATTTTCTTTAAATTTTAAATTATTTAATTAATAAAAACTCTATATCTACAAGTCGGTTATGCATACAACAGCAAAAATAACAACAAACCATCTTATATACATATATGAAATAATATAATACCTGTACATAAATACATATGTATACGTATGAAATACGTGTATGCAATACATGAGGTGACCAAGGACTTCGTTTCTTATTTAAAATTATTATTTTTTAATTATATTTTTTTTTGGTTTTTGCAAAATCCCGTTATCAGGCACTCAAACGAATCGAAAAACTTAAGATAAAAAAAAAAAAACAAAAACAAAGTATTAACATTTTCCAGCGCAAACAAAACAAACGCGAAAGCAAAGCACAAACTGCATTTAAACAAATTGTTATTAACCATTTTAGGTATAACATAATCGTATATTTAACGCAATACTTTCATTTGATACAGTTCTTGCCTGCAACTTAATGAAAAAAACTTACGCAATTTTTTACGCAGCCAAAATGCAAAATACGAAAAAAATCAAAAAAAAAAAGAAAGAAAATGCAACGAATTATTAATTCCCTTTATTATTATTATACAATTTATTTATTTATTAATTTTTTTCAAATTTAAACACGGCAAATTCTATGCTCTACATATATAATTTTCAAAATAAAAAATAAAAGAAAAAACAATTTTTAAACAAACTTTTTATACCAAGCTTTAACTTTCCTTACTCTTAAAGTTATTGTTTTGGTTTTCCACTTCAATTTTACTTTCGTTTATGTTTTCCACTATTTGTATTGTATGTATATATTTAAATTCTTATGCCTATTTATATTATATTTAAATATGAAGTTTTTACTGTTTAAAAAATAATTTTCTTCATTTTAAAAAATGTCATTTAAAGTTTCTTCTTCACATTCCATTTTTACCAAAATATACATATATATGATTTAGTCTATTCCGCACCGTTTCATTGCGATTTTTGCATTGTTTCATATTTGAAAAACAAAAAAAAAAATTTGCTCAAATATTGTATAAATAAATAATTGTTGCTCTTGTTGTTGATGTTGTATTTGTTACAAAATATTGAATGTTTTTCGTATATATAAATATTTATTAATATTTCAATATTTATTATTTTATTATTTCATTTTGTGCGTATTTATATATATTTATAGCACCAAATACAAAAACAAAAAAAAAACGGTAAATGCTTTCGAAAATTCCCCTCCCAGAGTAGCTTCAAATGCTCGCAGCTAAAAACATGTCTACAATATCTTAGCAAAAGCCACCTAGTGATTTGCAACTTTGATTTCCTCCAGTTACAACGCTGATGTAAAGGTAAACATTAGTTCACTTTACAGCTGAAACAGACGATAATTATTAACTGCATTAAATATGGCTTTATTTGCATTAACTCGTGTGTTATTTTCTTGCTTCTATATGCAATAGCCCAGTTGTTAGCATTGCATACAACAATATGGATGGCCAGGATTCGAGTAGTGGTCTGTCCGAAAATCTAAAATTATAGAAAATAGATTTTTCCAATTGCCATCGTGCTTCGGTAGGGAATTCCAAGCCCTCCTAATGTATTTCTGATATGATGAAAGCTTCTCAAAGCTTCTGATATAAAAATCATCAGCTCTTCGGAGGGGGGAGTTACAAAACACGAACTGCTATAAATGCAGTTACGAATGCATCAAATTTTAATGTGGCAATGTTGCCTTATTATTGGACAGTTTTTCGCTATTGTGAATGGCTGCAGCTACGCACGGTACTGGCAAAAGATATGGGTAGTATAAATAGTGTAAAATAATATCGAGAAGTGTAACGAACTTAGAATGAAATATCGTATTAAGGTTTACGCTGGCAACTGCAACAATTATTTTGATACTGTCTTTTTATTCTGGGAGGAATATGTTAACTAAATGCGCATAAGTGGTGTCTGTCAGTGGTGAAAAGAGTATGTGTAATTTTTGCCATTTAATGCAATTTAACTCAGCTAGTCTGTCTTCGCCATTTAGACTAACTATATAGGGAACAAAATAATTTCATTTTGATAATATCAAAAAAAGACAGCAGTTTTCCATAAATTTGTAACTATTTTCATGTGATTAAAATTGAAAGTTGCAATCTTCTATGGCGTCGTATAGTCATTACCAAGTTGTTAATATTAATTCATACCGCGTGTCTGAAGCACCCTATGCATATGCTACAATATATCATATTCCAATATTTGCTTAATAGCGATTCATTCAAACAAAGGCAAATTTTTTTCTTAATTTTAGTTAAAAGTTATTACATACATGTATAAAAAGTGTGCGTAGTTTTCTGTATTTTTTAAACAAATTTTTTTCCCTATCGCAAATTAATTTTAACCAAATACATATTGACCATTACTATATATGAGTTTTTGAAATTTTTCGGTTAGTTTTTCACTTGCATCTGTGTAACTCTTCTGTGGTTTTTCGGCAAAAAACTTGGTAAAATGATTTTTAGTGGCTCTTCGATCTAGAGTCCAAATAAAATGATAGTCGGATGGTGCAAGGTGCGTGATATATGGTGTGTCAAAGCTTTTCGACCAAGCTCCGCCTACCATTTTGCCTGGTTTTAGAAGATGTATGCATGTGAACGGACGTTGTAATTAACAAAAATACAACACTTTTCCATTGAGCAATTGTTGAGGCTTATGAAGCAAAATGCCCTCCTAGTCACCGGCCATTGATCCATTTTTCATCGCACATGGCGAATCGCTTTAGGAATGGTTCGATTTCAAACTCGTATCACCGATAGTAGTTCCATCAATAAAATTTGCTTCGTTTTTTCAAGTGGCACCCCAAACTTCGAGTCTTTTTGAGTAGTTAGCATTTTTACAACAAATCAAAAAAAAAAAAAAAAAATTATGTACATATGTATACACTAATAAACAAAATATGCTTTTGGAATGTACCCGCAATGTTTACTACCGTTAAAAATTAACTACTCTGTCTCTACAGGCAACTATAATCTTTTTTGTAGTAACTCAACCCCCTCCAGTTGAGCTTCAAAGTATACGTAAGGCGAATTTTTCATTATTTCCCTCTATTGTGTGACTTCTTAAGGTTACCACAGGCTCATCACTTGCCCAGATAGTAATTTAAACCGCAGATGATAATGAAAGACGAGCAAATACATATCTTACCATTGAAGACTTCGCAGTTTCTTTAGAATGATTGCGCTCCTTAAATAGGCCTATATTATTTCGTATTCTTATTACTTCCACTCCACCAATTATTATATTATTTATTTAAATTATTTAGCACGAAGATGAATTTATTCCTTTGTACGGTTAAAAACACAACACATTTTTCAACAGTTTTTCTTTAGTCTTGAAAATGGCATTTTTATGCACCAAAAATTTGATCATAAATTTGTTTATCTAGCAAATCAGTATATATGTATATCATGTTGTTGCATTTGAAATAGAATGTAGTTGTATTAAACAGAAGCGCATGAATAACATATTTTTTAACAAAATCAGTTTAAAATAGAAATAATTGAAATGTGAGCGTAATGATTACCTAAACAACCTCATTTTTATTAAAAAAAAAAAAACAAACAAACAAATCTTCATATACCTTAAAAAACATGTTTCGTTTTCAAATATTTTTATATACTATATAATAAATATGTAAACATATGCTTATAAATATAACTTTATTACATAATTTCTGAGTTTACAATTTCATGATGCATGTAAAATAGGAAAACTCCGGCCGAGTTTTTTATTTAATTTAAGATCCATTTGAGTTCCATTATTTGTGGAATTATGCAAGCTGCTAATAATATGTAAATAAATGCAGAACACTGACATATATATGTCAGAAATAATGCTACGAATATTCTCTTCCAAAGGGTCAATTATCTTACATAACCTCTTAAAAAATAGTCCAGCGGTGTTAGTCTCCAAGCCATAGGCACACAACGCCAGATATTGCGATCACCAAATGTTTCCTTAAATAATGTGATTGTTTCATTGGCTGTATGCATATACGGCCGTCTTATTGGAGGTACATTCACATAAACATCCTCCAATTCAGACACGAAAATATTATTAATCCCAGAATGCGTTCTCCAATGGCTGTTGCATTGTGGCTGGCTTAATTTTTGAAGAAATCTCTTCTTCCTTGTCCATAGAGCACATCAAACCATACAGCGAATATTTAAGGATGTTATGACGTATAAGTATGACGGGTGTGACGAGCGACTTGTAGAGTTTGGTTTCTGTTCGTCGAGTAAAGTCTTCTTACTTTCCAATTGTTTAACAGACCAAGGTAACGCATTCTGGCTGGTGTGATTCAACGTTGAATTTCAAGTGTAACATTGTTGTTGGTGTTAACACTGGCTTCAAGATGAACGCAATGATTCATGGCTTCAAAGTTGTGACCGTCGGCAGTGGAGCCGTGGGAGGCGAGACGAATGCGATGACTGCTTGTTTGAGGACAGAAGAAATTTCGTTCTGCTCTCGAGGACAATGTTGTTCATATCATCCGTGTATGCCAGTAGCTATACACTCTTATAGAAGATCGTACCCCTTCTGTATACAGTTCTTCAGTTCGTATTATTTTCTCCAGAAATAAATTAAAAAAGTCACTGCGCCAACATCAGCCATGTAATCTGTTGTTGTATTATTCAATTCATTATTAACAAACAACTATTAAGTGCGCTAATTTAGCCGCTATTTTCTTAACAGCTTGGTTAATGTGTTGTGTTGGAATCCTCTATACTTTCAGGCGTTAATTGGCAGAAAAATGTATAGGAAGGATTAAGGTATCAGGTTCATCTTATATATTTATAATTTGTTTTTGCGGCCATGCTATATATTAATTTTTATTAAGTAAACTACGAAGCCTTGTTGTTTGTATGAATTGAATATTTGTTATACAACAAAGAAAAAATGGTAGAAGTGACAGCTGTTTCGGAGATCACCACATCTCCTCATCAGACTTCTTATGGCATAATATTTCGTTATAAGAAAAAAAATGCGCAGTACTTCCATTACAACAAGCAGCTCAATTGTTATGCTATTGATGACATTCATTTTTCAAAGTTTTGTATTTGTCTGTCTAAGGTGCTTAGGGCTACGCTGTCTCCTCTATCACTTTCACCCAAACTAAATTTCGGATTAAATGTAATTTCCATTCAAGTCAAGTTGGAACTTAAAGTGAAGAAGAAGAGAATATTTACATTATCTATTTCAACGTAAGTTATTGTTTTCTTTAAAGAAAAAAATGTTTTAACTCTAGTTGCTTCCAATAAAGTTGTTGTAACCGTCTCAAATTATTAAAAATTCTGCTTTTATATTTTTCAAAGTAATATCCTTACCTTATTATGAAATACTATTTTGCTTCCATTTTCAAATCTTATTTATTTTATTTTAATTTAGCACAAACCCAACCATGAGCTCAACAAAAGATTTTTCTAATAAATTTATTGTTTCGCTGACTGTGTGCCATGCAGCGCTGCCAAGTGGCAAGCAAAAGTCGTCCACATTAACAATCTTTCCGTAGAAGCACGAAAAGGTTATTAATAAAGGCTCTATAGCGTTCTGTATTGGCACTAACATTATAGTCGGCTTCATCTGCCTATACGATATAGCTTCATCCTGAATAAAATTTTCTTGTGTTAAAAATCAGAATGCCTCAACGACTTGGATTATGTGAGCCCAAAACCACCTTGTTTTTTCTCCAGAATCCACTCATTTTCAAATCAAAATAATTTTTGACACGAGTGACGATTTACTGAGTTATCTTGGGGAAAAATATTGTTTGAAATGTCAGCTGTCAAACATTTCCCTTCAAGGAGGACTCCGATCATTTGAGCCAACATATGTCAGGAATGCATGGTGTTATATCCCGACATCTCGTGGAATGATTTTCCTATCCCTTTCTTAATGCCGAAATGACAAATGTGATGTTTACATTTGTACACGTCGTTCTCTCTTCGTTTCCTCGTGCATTTTCGTCATTCTTGTAATACAAGTTGAACACAGATGAGTAACAGCATTGATGCCGATGGAAATTATTTTTGACAAAAATTTAATAATACAGCAATATATTCATTTTCAAAAATCAGCAAAATCATGTAAGCAAAGCCGCGTTGGTGAGGCAGCTCCTCAGCTCCACGAACGCCTCCGTCATAATCGCGGCTCCTTTGAAGTATAAAGACGTCTAAGTAAAATAAAAAAATAATGATCGAATTATATTGTTATTGATGTCTAAATGAATTTTTACCTCTCAAAGTTTTGTCGGTTATTTTATCAGGTGTACAACTTTGCTTCCGCCGTATTCCGATAGGTGGCTGTACCGGCTGAGGCTGGTAGAAATACATAGATGATAATGCCTTTAAAGTGAGTGTGGACAATGTCTAACGAATTGTCATCGCCGTTTCAGTGACAGTTGTTCTTGTTTTCGTATTTTTCACGCTCGAAAATGTCCGTTTATGTGCCTAATTCTCGCCATTTTTCGTGAAGTTTAACTTTTATGTTACAATTCGAAAAAAAATGCAGCTGAGTTGCATCGAATGCTCTCAAAAACTTACGGTGATGAAAAGTGCGTTCGATACGATAACGCAGAAAATCATGGGCATGCTTCTTCGTCGAAGGCAAAACCGAATATTCACGGCGCTAAGGTTATGATTTGTACTTGGTGGGATCAGCTCGGTGTGATTTTCTACGAGCTCTTAAAATCGGGTAAAACCATCACAGGAGATCGCTACCGAACGCAACTGATGCGCCTTAGTGGCGCCCTAAAAGAAAAGTGGCCACAATATCAATAGCGATGTGACAAAGTCATCCTCCAACATGACAATGCTCGGCCTCACGTCGCAAAAGTGATCAGAAAGTACCTGGAAACGCTGAAATGGGAAGTCTTGCCCCACCCGCCTTATTCCCCAGATGTCGCCCCTTCTGACTTCCACCTATTCCGTTCGATGGCACACAGCCTGGCAGATCAACATTTTCAATCCTTCGGAGAATTGGAAAAATGGATTAGCCGGGATCCGAAAATTGCCGGAAAGAAGGGGGAAAGTTGTCGTTAGCGAAGGACAATACTTTGAATTATATATCTGTAAGCTTTTAATTTTGGAAAAAAAACGGCGGAAGCAAAGTTGTAGTCTGTTAATCCAGCAAGATGAGAAGCGTCCATTGCAGTCAAACTGCTTCATTAGCTGATCTTTCGGTACGATATAGAGTGCCCTTAAATAAACAAATGTAAAAAGCAATGAAAAATGAAGTACTTAATTAATCCAAAATATATTATTACCATAGCTTGTACAGGATCCTCATCATGTATTTTTCACTTCTATCGACTGCGGGGAAAACGAAAAAAATGCCGTGCTCTCTATCTCTCTATCTGCTCTTTAATACATATGTATATTGCAAATGAAGGACTCAAAGTCAATCAGTAACCAATCTTTCCATTAAAACAGTCCTCTAAATAAATAAATAAATAAATTTTGCTTTCGTATTTTGTTAAATTATTTTATGAACATTGGTTTTTTTTTTATAATTACTTTTAAACCTAACAAAAAATATATATGTATATATACAATATAAAAAAAAATATAGGTATAGAAATCACAGCCGATATTACTTACGAAATTCCAATCCCATTACATATTGCCATTAATAATGTTAACGAAACTTCCGTACGCATGACGTAACAGCTGAATTTGTTGTTAGTTTTAAATACGGTTATTTATCTTTTGAAAAATGTTGACTTGAGCTGCTATGCCTTTACCCGTTGGCTACATTTTTTTTGTTGTTTTTTTGTTTTTCCTCTTTGCTGTGCTAACTATATAAACAAATAACATAAACAACAAAAACAACATTTATGAACTAAACTTATTATATATGTGTATACACATTTCATTCATACTAATTTCTTTTTTTTTTTGAGTTTTTACTAAAGTGTACATACGTATATAAAAACTGCTATGTAACGGTAAATGAAAAAGCGCTTATGTAAATAAATTTTTATATTAAAAGATATTTACAATAAATTTAATAATTTCTCAACATTTAATAATAATAGTGTCAATAAAAGAAAAGTCAATTTCACACCGTTAAATATACATATATTGACAACAAACATATCTGTCTCTGCAGGCGCACAGCGAAGGTAATAAAGTGTTCTTTTCTCTTATGCAATTATCTTCCAATAAATTTTTTGCAAAGTTAGTTTTTTTTTAGTTCGCGCTATGTGTGTTTTTTAAATTTGTGCAATAACAGAAATAAAATTTATTAAAGAAAATTAATAATAATAATGGTATATGCAAATACCGCATTTATTAATTTAATTTACATACATGACATGAAGGTTCAGGACAACTTGTGCTCTCTTTTATATGTCTAAATATTAATAAAATAATTCAAAAATTAATTAGTGAACAAAGAAGTCCATTTGAGTGCAAACTATAAGTAAATAAAGAAAAATGTTTGTACCAAAAAAAGTTGGAAAATAAGTTAATTTTTTTTTGCAATTTCCGCTTTAAATTTTATTTCCATTTTTTACCAATTTTCTTTAACCTATTTTATGTGTTCATATTTTTTGCCTTAAATTAATTAGGTAAATATGCATATACATACAATATAAATATGCTTTTATAATTTTTTTATATTTACTTTTAGAACATACTTTTATATGTATACTGAATAAAATAAATTTGCATTTATTAACCATATTTATCTTATATTGCAATATAAATAACTATTTGAAAAAAATAAATATAAAAATAGAAATAAAATTAAAAAAAATATTTGAAATGCAACTCTGCGTATTTGAAAATTCATTTTCATGTGCCTGTGTAAAATAAACTAAAATAGAAACAAACGTATTGCATTGGTTTATTTATAAAATCTGACAAACAATAAGTGGAAAATAAATGTTTTTTTTTTTAAATTAAAAATAGCAACAACATAATAGATAGCAACAATCAAGCTGCACTACGTAAATACTTGTATATATACTTTTGTATGGTCACAATAGCCGGTGTCTGTCCATGTAAACGTATTTTTGTTTTTCTCTTTTATCAAAACAAGACGAAAATTAATCAAAAAAAAAAAAAAAACAAAAACAAAAAAAAAAAACTTTATGCAATTGACGTGTCTTTCCTTCTACTACTATTTAAACTACTTTTTTGTTATGTATTTATATATATTTTCAGATATATTTAGCTTATTTCTTTTTAACTTCATACATATTTTATATAAAAATTTTCAATTCTCAGCAGTTTAATAATTTAATTTTTTTCTTCACGAAAATTGGCAGCAAAATGTACTAAAAACATGAATAGTAGTCAATTAGGCAAAATCCAAAAAAAAAAAAAAGTTGAGGGAGTTGCTTAAACAACTCATTTGAATCAGTGGCTAATTTGTTGAATTTATTTATATTTATTTTCATTCTTAAACTTTATTATATTATATATTAGTTGATATTTTTTCTACATTATTCAAAATTTATACAATTTCATTGAATTGGTTTTTATTCGAAACTTACAACTTAAGTTTAGTTTAGTTAATTTTTTTTCTGTAATGGTCTGCTGTGGTAAATGTGAAGTCTTTATGTTATATTTGTTGCTATAGATGCTCGCCCTGCTTCCCCTACACTGTTAGACAACACGGGCCTCCCTGCCCCCGATCACCAAACGCAGGTAAATACTCTTTCTCTTTTTTAACAAAAAAAAAAAAACAATAAGAAAAAAACAAAAAAAAAATACCGCATTCTTCTCTACGTTCGTTCGTTCTGTTTCTTGTTTTCTTGTCTTATTTCTTAACAATAAAAAACTACCATATATATATATATATATATATATATAAATATATACATGTATAAATATAACCAGAAAAAAGCATCACTCTATCACCACTGCCCTCTCTATACTCCATCCCAACCACTTCTGCTATATCTATTGAAATATTTGATTTTTATTAAATTATTTGAAATTATTTCCAGTTATGTGTAATTAATTACTTTTTAATTGATTTCATTGTATATTTTCAAAGTGTTCAGTTATATAATTTTTTACTTGAAATAGTTGGTGTATTTAATATAAATTTTTTTTTTAGAAAAATTCGAAAAGTTTTAATGAATACCCCGCATGGAGTATTAGAGCATTTTTGCGCACTTCTTTTAATGTTTCTTTTTTTCAATGTATCGCCGTCTTTAAATTTTCAATGAACTTTTACGAAATGTGATTAATAAATTTTAATGCTAAAAATTAAATGCAAAAAATGAAAGCTGCTCTTTGTATTTGTATGCGTGTTTGGAGGCAAAATTTAAAAGGTGAATCTTAAAAGCAAAACACCGGTATGTGAAGAGACTTATGCATACCCCGCAAGCATTTGTAGACCATATGGTGCTTTAAAGTAATCCAAAAGTTGCTCCTTTGTAGTGCAATATTGGACCAATTAACATCTGGCTGCCAGCTTGTTGCTAGTCGAGGATTGTTCGCGTTTAAACGAATGAAACTACTAAGTGAAGTACCGCTATAACAACAACAGCAGCTAAGCGAAGTAGCAAGTGTACAAAGAGATTTATACTCGTTTACAGCAAATGTATAAAACTGCAAGTACCCGACGTGCCTATGTTTCAACTAAAAAATATATACCAAAGGAAAAAGAACAAATGTGCAAATTGAAATAAGTTTATTACTTTTATTAAATTATTTCAATTAATTTAATTTAAATGGTAAATGTTAAATTTAAAAATATTTTTTAGCATTTTTTTTTTTGATAATAAAAAGTATATCCGAATGCAAGTTTTCGTACAATAAGTTAGTACTCAATATGTTAGAACTAAATGCAGAAATTATTGTGGAAATCCCGATGGCTTCCTGGATGCTCGTTCGGCTTCAATTCTTGAGCGAGTGTGATTTCGTAAGCCAGCTAGCCAAGATTCTTCCACAAAATTTTCCATAAAGGGCAGAGTGACAATTTTACGCGCGATGGCGGTTGCGCTGATTTGGGTCCTCTTCGATACTCTGCTCCACAGCAGCGATAGAGTTTCCGTTGCGCGCTGTATGGCATCCGTGGTTGGTTCCAAAACTAATTTCCCGTAGATACTTCATGAACTCGCAGCTGTTCGCAAGAGATGGAGTATATGGTTCGGCCCTAGCGCATCACAATGTTGATTATGCCATATTTTTTTGTAAGGATTACGAATAGTTTTGGACTGCTCTATTGTTCGCTTGGCGTATATATAAGTACTCTCGTTGTTCGCAGGGTCAAATAATAAAATGTGAGAACCCACCACTTTCTCTAATCGAAGGTGTTGATATCGTAAATTAATTTCAAGTAGAATTTAAAAATGTTTTAATAATTTAAAAAGTGTTAAATCAATTTTTGTAAACTACTTGTTAACACTCCTAATTTCTATCTTTAGGTGTCTGTTATAAATAATTATAAAAAATATTTTTCTTTAAATATTTAAAATTTTTTAGTAAAACAATGCCTCTACACCGCGACAAACTTAAAAACTTGAACGAATTTTTCTAGAATTTAAAGCAACATTTATGTTATTATTATGATTTCTTTTCTTTTAAGTTTTTTCTCTTTGTATTCATACTGTCATTTTGTAAATCACCAGAAAACAACTTCATAATCTCTGAACTCAATTTACAGCATTAAAGTATCAAAATGAAAAAAAAATAGATAATCAGCTCACTAAATATATATAAATATTCACAGCAAACAACCAAATGTAAACATAAAATACTTTGTTAAAAAAAAAAAACATATAAAAAAATAGAACTCAAACGAAGGAAACGAAAATCAGTCAAGCATTGTTGTTACAGAAATATGTATAAAATATATATATATTTTTAAATACTTATCAATCTATACCGTCATATTGCCAAATATACCAATATATATATTCAACAAACCAATAACAACAACGGAAAATCAAATAACAATTTATGTATAACTAGCAACATTTTGAACAAAACTCTTGTACTTACCATTATCAAATACTATATTCGAACTATATTATTTTCCTTTACCAATAAACCAATTTGTTAATTAAATAATATATAGTCGTACAGTGCCAAAAAAAATTACAAAAATTTTAGTTTTTTTTTACTTATTTTTTTTCTATTTCACCTTAAATTTATTTATTTATTTTTATTTTTATTTTTTTCAAATATACAACTCTCTTCTGTTACTTTATATATTTTTTCTTTTTTTCTTCAATTCACAAATACTCGTATCTATATCTAAATCTACAAGGTACTTAGCACATTGTTGTTGCTATTTCATCAAATCAAAATCCATCAGTATTTCGTATCTTGCGCCGTTTTCTCTAGCTGACTCTCTGACTTTCTCAGTCAAAGTTTAATGTTAATTAAAAGATTAGTGTTAAACAGAAATACTCAACTAAAAAAACTATGTCATTTTGTTTTTTTAATATGAAAAATAAACTTAACGAAATGTAGAAGCCGCACAAACTCATCGGTAAAGTTAATTTCAAAATTGCTGCCAGCTATGATATTAACAGCAAATTTCAATGTTAACGTTTAACATTATCTGTTAACGATTTAGCATGAACGAAATCATTTCGTATCAAAATGAAATCAAATCTATTCTGTTAACGGCTTCAATGATAACGTTTCTAAATGTTTCAACTTAATCGATAGAACATTTTAGATTACCGTGAAATTTATCGCTGCGATGCAGCTAACACCAAAGCCAAGAAAAAAAGAAACTAAAATTAAAAATAAAAATAAAGAAGAGAAGAAAAATTATATTTCATTTCATGAAACCGGCAGAAGATAGAAATATTTTTAAACACACATAAGTGCATTAAATCACAAACCATAACAAACCATGAATATTCACCACACTCACTGATCAATGGCAACAAACAGCATACCATAGAACCACAGCATCATCCATATATTATATAACATTTATACCTATTATATTCATTTTTTTATTTATTTTTTATTTATTATAAGAAATATTTATATGTCATCATATTAAAGAGAATACAAAAAAAAAACACTCACACAGATATCTTAAGTTGTATTTAAATCAATATATTTCTGCGAAAGGGAATATTTAGCTCCTTTATTCATAAGCACTTTGAAACGTAAAAATGAATAATATGACATTTCTCGTTTATCGCTACAAACAAGCTGTCTGAGAAGTACCAGGTCAATAAAATACAAAGAAAAAAAATTTTGTTAACGGATTGTATCAACTTCAAAGTAAGCTTCACCTCTCATGTCAGCGAATAGTGCCATTGTCAAGACATTTTTTAGGCATTTTATCTCCTTAAATTTCTGTCGCGTATTCACTTCTGTGTTTTCCATCGACTCAAGATAGATCTCTCGCAGTAAATATACATATATATATATTTGTATAATATGTAGGATAGAAGGAAAAATTACGTTGAAGCCAGATCGTGTGAATTCGGTGATTGTTCGCTGAGCTTTAGCTGAAAACAATGATAGAAACGATAGCCTTGTGATTTGACCCATTATACATGAGTTTTCATCTACAAATCTGGAATTTTCGACTAATATTCACTCTCATACGTTGCCTGCTTGTTAAATATAACTCCTTTCCACTCAGCGGATTTACCAGCTGCTCACGTATTTATCTTTTATATTTAAATTGAGCTGAGTTAGGGTTTGGTTGTAGTGGCTACCGATCAACCGCATCGATTTATATAGCTTAGACCTTTAATGTCTTAGGCCCTTAAACATCATTATCCAACCATTTCGATTATCTAAAAATACTTCTTTTAATCCATGAATTCGACGTCGGAATGTCCCGAAATTCGGAAGCCTAGCACTGTCCAAAGTAGGACAGTAGCATAGAAGGTGAGGGGTAGATTCCTTCTTTTCTTCATCATTGCAGCTTCTTTAGCATTTTCTCTTAAGACTCCTATTATTCCTGTGTGCGGCCTAGAGCCTTACAGTTTCCCTAATCTGCTGCGACCTGGGATCCATGAGAGGGTCAGTCTGTTCTGTGTGGCCATCTCCTGTAGAGTTCGCCGACAGTCAAGCGCAGCTTCAGATTTTGTGTGGGCGTGGTCCATTGATTTGACTGCCTTAAAAACGAAGAACAGTTATTTTTTGTCGGCCTATATAACGTCCATTGACAGGAGCTAAGTTAAATGCAATCTCTATGATTTGTCGACGTTTTTCGGAGTCTTTGCATACATTTGGGCCGCGATCAGCTTATTAGCTATTTGCGAATCAAAAAATTTTCAAAGCACAATATGTCGACTTTGCAATCTGTCAAATAATTTGGTCTTCCCATTTTTGGGATTTTAGTGTATGTTTTTATATAATATTGTCATATGAAGTATAGCTGACATTCGAAGTGTGTATAAGGTTAAGTAATTTGTTGCTCTACTTAAGACTTATCGGTGAAGCCATCTTTGAGAAATGGATAGAAAACACGTTTAAAAGCCAAAAAGTCGCTTACCTGAGATAATTTTTTTTGTTAAATACACTTATATCTCTGAAAATTTTTATCCCATTGCCGAAAATGTAGAAAAATCTTAGAATTTTTTGAAAATCCGAACTGCGTGTAAGACCTGGGCCATGTGGAAGTGATTATTAGTTTATTAATCAACAATAATTTCTAATCTTAAAACACTTTTCTCATTCAACTGCACTCATTCATTTAAACATTATCACTA